AATTGGGGGGGGGGGTGTGTGGATGTGTCTCTTTTTTCTTACAAGCAGTACTAGATAAAGCTGTCTCAAATAGTAGGATGTCCTTCCAGAGGAACCTAACTTGCCTCTGCTATTTTATTCAGGTGTCTGTTGAATACATCAGAGAAACTGGTTGTGAGTGAGAAAACCTGTTGTTGGAAACAAGTTTTCTGTGGCCTTCAGCTTTGTGTTGAGTGAGCTAAGGCTTGCTGAGTCTGGGACTCTGCTGGGAGAGCTCAGAAAAGAGGAAGAACTGGAAAGGACTGACGGCAGCTGACAAGGGGCTGAGCTGGGGTCTGACCTATGTGGAAACCAGGTGGGTCTGACCCCCGATGTCCTTTAGGGTCCTAACTCTCCATCTCTCCCGCTCTCTCTTTTTCTTTCTCTCTCTTTCTGTCTTCCTATCCCTCTCATTCTCCTTTTTGCTTTTGCTCCTTTTCCTCCCCCTCCTTCTCTCCTCTCCCCCCCTTATCTTTTCCTCATTTTCTCTTTTTCTCCCTTCGTCCTTTTCTCTTTTCTCCTTTTCTTTCTCCTTATCTCTTTTTCTCTTCTCTATTTTTTTCTCTTCTCCTCCCTCCCCTCCCCCTCCTTTTCTTTCTCTCTTCTTCTACCTTTCTCTTCTTCTCTCTCCCTTTCTTTTTTTCTCCTTTTTTCCTCTTATTTTCTTTCTCCTTCCCCCCCCTTTTTCTCTGTTTTTTGTCTATCTCTTCCTTTCTCTTTCTCCGCCTCTTCTTCTCTCCCCCCTCCCTGTTTTTCTTACTCCTCCTCTCGCCATTAACTAACAGTTCCCATAATTACTTCCCTTTGTGCTTCTTTGTCAGCAAAATAGCTATCAATATTACTTCCAATAGGACAACCTAAGCAATGAATTTAGATATATCCCATTTCATTCAAGATGATCTACAAGTTTCCCAAGCCAGTTAAATCACATCTTTCCAAGTCCTTACCTCCAAAGACGGACCCTTTCCAGGTGCGACCAGTGAAGAGGAGCATGGGGTCAAAAGTGATCTTTTGTGCTGCAGGGGGCACTCCCACAATCACACTGACTCCGTAGTTGTATTGGCAACAGGCCAAGGCTGCAGCCTGCATTTGAAACAGAGGGACACCCCAGAGTCATGCAAGATTTGCTGCCGGGGCACAAAGTTTGAATTGCTCCTCCTCCTCTCAGGGCTCAGCTTGCAATTAATTTTTTGTAACTGAAACCACATCAAACAATTTCCATTGTATCTGCTCACACCATTGTATCTGCCGTCATGGGTTAGATATGTCCTAGCTTTGTTCTCCTTCCCCTTTTTGTCTTAGTCATTAGTGATAAGCCGCTGTTGGAAAGCAAATACTGGGCTATGTGAAATTTAGCCACCCTGGTTAGGCCAGGGGACTACATTGAAGGTCCCTTGCCTAAGTTTTTGAGTGTGCTTCTGTCCCTGCATCTCAGTGGCAGATAGCTGGACGTTAAGTCCAGGTTTGAAGTTAGCTTGACACTTTGCCGGTGGCTCTCAACTCCTCACCCTTGGTGCTCAGTGGGTTAGTGAAGAGAGAGCTAACAAGCTAATGCCTCATTTGACCACATCTTTTGGTTGCATACCATGGTTTCGGTACGGCCAATGACCTCAAAGGAGTAGTCCACACCATTGCCGGTCATTTCAATCAACACTTCGTGAATAGGCTTCTTGAAATCGGTAGGGTTGACGCAGTCTGTGGCTCCCAGCTCTTTGGCCTTGGCAAACTTGTCGCTATTGATATCAACGGCAATGATGCGGGAAGCTCCAGCCGCCTTGCAGCCCATGACAACAGAAAGGCCAACTCCTCCGAGGCCGAAGATGACACAGGTGGAGCCTGGTTCCACCTATAATAACCATATAAACATGGCATACTGTTACAGTCTAGGTAAAGTACGATGCATTTTCTTATTATCAACATGTTTTCACTTAAGCCATTTCTTGTAATTTAGAGATTACCTGCTGAGAAGGAATTTGCACATGCATACCTACTAGTGCAGTAGCCAGCTATACTGTTATAATCCTACATGTGACTAAGATAAATTGTCCCAAAAATACATTTCTGAGACCAGGTTTTCATTACACGTCTCAGCTTCAGGTTTAGAGCCACATGTTCTTTATGATGCTTTATATTCCAGTGGCGTTAAGATCTGTAGTGTCACTCCACTGGAGACAGTGCCAGCTGTAAAAGTCACATTTGTGTATTGCTACAAATTATGACTGTTGCATATATAGGCTTCCACGTATTCCTAGACTTAAGTTACAATAAAACAAATCAGCTCTGTCGTAACATTTTTCTAGGGGTGGTAAAGCTATGAGAGAAAACTTAATAGATGGTAATAAGTGTTTTTACTGGATTTTGAATTGAAGACTTCTGAGTACCTTAGAGACAAAGAAACTGAAGCAGGCAAAGAACTAGTATCTTCTTTCCACCCTGAACTCAACAGAGTCTATACCTCCCGGCTGCCATGCTGACGACCCGCTCGCAGGCCACACAATCCTGAACAGACCCCATGAGATACCAGAAACATCCACCACGACACTTACCTTGGCAGTCTGCACAGCAGCCCCATAGCCAGTTGAAAACCCACAGCCAATTAAACAAACTTTTTCCAGAGGAGCAGCAGAATCGATTTTGGCTACAGCAAATTCATGCACTACTGTGTATTCAGTGAAGGTACTTGTACCAAGAAAATGGTGAATTGCTTTTCCTTTACAGGTGAATCTACAGGTGCCATCGGGCATGAATCCAGCAGCTGAACCAATGCTGTTTGAAAGATGACCAGAAATAACAGCAAGTGAAATCTGTTGCGTGTGATCAGTTTTGTATAAATAAATATCAAATAATGGTTGTAGGTAACCCAGGAAAACTCACTGGTTTTTACTGCACAGATTACCCTTGGTGCTTAAGCAACTGCTGCACTCCCCACACTGTGGAACAAAGAGTGGAATAACCTTGTCTCCTAGAAATAAAACAGTAATGACAGAGAATTAAAAAAGGTAAACAAGAAGCATGCAGGTAAAAACATGAAGCAAGTGTATTTAATCCCTAGGCAAATGTGCACTAGGAATGCAGTGCTGGTTTTATTTCCTTCTGCTGCCCTTGGAAGATAAACCATCTCTCTCTGTTACAAAGGACATCATTAGGGCAAAGTTATGACAACTAATTTCAATATGCAAAACTCCTGGTGTCTTTCATAGAACTGAGTCTGAGCTATGTCATAAAACATAGCTACTGAAGTACTCATTCAGCAGTTTATTGCGTCTTCTACTTAAAAGGAAAATAGTAATACACAGGTAAAGAAACTGAGATAAAAATTGACATCCACTAGGACAGCAGGTTGGAGTGCCAATATAACAGGGCTGTAAACCATGCATACAAAGAATGGGAAATTAAGCATTAATTTGCCAGCCCTCTTGAGTCTCTTTCTTATTTGCAGTCCTATTACTGTTGCATTGGAGTAAAGGTAGGTAAAAAATTTGTCAGAGAAGCAGTGACACGCACAAGCTAAGACAACATCTCCAATTCTCTAGCACAATTATACGGTTAACAAAGTAGCACATAGCTTCCCAGTGCAATTTTTTACTGCTGCGCGTTTTCCACAGCAACCATGTATGGTAAATCCCTAATAATCTCTAAACAGGTAACCCCTAATACAGATCAATTTGTGATTTGGCAGGTCTAAAATGTGGCTAATCCTTGACACGTTGAAAGTCAAGGGAAATCTTTGATTTCCACTAAAAAATGGAAAATGCCTACAGAACAGGAAATGTCCCCACTACCCCGACCCTCCGTTAACTTAGAACTGTGACATGGGCTTAGTAATCATTCTGCTAAAGAAACTTTGCACGTCTTGGAGCCTTTTTTAGAACTTGAAGGTGTAAATTAAGCAACATCTGAGAGACGTGATTTTGTGCGTGTGTGTGTTCAGGCCTGATGTTTCAGCTCACCTGGAAACACACGGCAGCTAGAATTAGACAACAGGGTGATTTATGAACCCAGACGTAAGAGAAAAAGCAGCTAGAGCTATCACTGAAATTTGCAATATTTGTTTGGAGTTAAAGCAGAAATCGCTAATAAAACTTTTTCTTATTATACATACCAACCTGCTTTGGACAGACTTCATACTTGTTGCCAGTACAAACAAAGACACTGGAAGTACAGAAGTCTTAAAAGTGACCTACTTAGGTATTGTAACAAACTGCCTGGATAAAATTGAGCATTTCTATGCAGATTTTGTTCACTACATATTTTGTCTTAATAATTTAGCCCTTGTTAGAATTTGTTCAGTCCCATAGAAGTGTCTAGAAAACCCGCCTCATCTTGCAGCAGTTGGAGGAAAATCAGCATCTTTCAGTGACTTCTCTATCTACACACTGTGGTTCAAAGAGAGTGTAGCGAGAGGAGCATCTGGTCCTCAGAGCGATCCAGCCCTCAGTGAGCAGTGCTGACTCACCTGCACCGGTGCTGCACACAAGCGAAGCCTGCAGCAGGGTGGGCACCCCAGTTGTGCCTTGATACTTTTAAAGTGAAGTAATTGAGCACACGGACACAAGTTCTGGTCTACTGAAAAGTCAATGGATTATTTAGCCGTTAGCAGAATTAAAAGAAGGTGCTTTGACATGTTGTCTAGTGCTTTGCTTTGCCTTATTCTTGAGAGAAATGAGCTGTGTAAACTGGATTTAAAGAACCTGCAGCTAATACTTGATCTCCTGTGACCAACAGCAAAGAATCTGTGTTCTTAATCCCATGACAGGAAAAGCACTATGTAGGTGGAAAGCAAGCTGCAGATGTTTTTGCCGAAACCAAAAGAAATCGAACAGAAAATCTGAAAATAAAGCAAGATTTGGAACTCAGAAAGATGTAAACAGCACGTAGTGTCCTTTAAAGTATCCTTGAAAAAACTCAAAGTTGGAACATTTTCCTCTGCAGTACAAGTACTCACGCATGTAATCATCTTTGACTTAAACAGGAGTCTGGAAACTCAGCACAGGGTTTGTGTTCAGTGCTGTTGCATACCTGGTTTGATTGAAGTTACTCCCTGCCCAACACTCTCCACAACACCAGCTGCTTCGTGGCCAAGAATTATTGGAAAAGGCATAACCATACAACCAGTTACCACGTGGTCATCAGAGCGACAGATCCCTGTGGCCACGATCTGATTTAGAGGAAAGACAAGAATATTTCAGCACTTAACTATGTCATGTCATATGCGGAAGTGAAATAATATGTATTTGGAGAAGTCACTGGCTTCCCTCAAAAATCACATATGCACGCAATAAATCTACAGGTAAAACACTTTTGGTTGTGTGATTCATGATTCTCACGGTTTGTATTAGTCTTTACTCTACGAAGCAAGGCTCCTTCGTGAATGTTTGCTATGCACTACTGAGCTCTATAGGGAGTCTCATTGATTATCTGGCAGAACCAATGTTCTAGCAGTACAATTATATATGAAGAACAGAATAAAATAAATTATTCCTAATATTTATATATAAATACATAAATAGAAAAAGTTTGTGATGTTATAGAAATAGTACAAAATTATGTAAATATAAATTATCACATTTTATTTATAAACATAGAAATATATAAATTTTATATTCCTTATATTTAGGTTATATTACAGTATCTCATATAATAGATGTTATAGAAAATGTGTATTATACAATGAGGTAATATTATATATAATTACATTACAATTATATATTATTTATATATTTTAAATATATGCATATGTTAGATATAAAAAAATTTAGGCTACGCATAGTATTTTATATCACATATTGCCTTCTCTTGCAGGTAGCACTGCAGTATTTCTTTTGAAACATTCAGGTATGTCTTTACAACTTTTATTCCGAGAAATGGAGTTATCAACCCCATGAGAGTGTTCTCCTCACTTGAGTAAAACTTGAAAACTGCTCTAAAATGAAAACAGCTGCTGAATTCCACTGAGAAAGTTCCTGAAATGTAACAGATGCTCAATACCCAGTTAAAAAAGGAAGCTCCCAGCCCTACTGAGCTATTTCCTAGCACAGATTCAAACAAAGTAAAAGAGAATTTCCTGCTCCATGCTATAGGAGATTTGGATTTTTGCCTTGTACTGTAATTTTTTCAGCCTATTAGAAGACAGGTGTCTTAGTAAACAAAAACCCAACCACGAAAAACTTTTTTTTTTTTTTTTAAAGAACCTCATGATCAAGTTTAGGACTTGAAGCATGTTCCATAGGAACTCACTGAATAGTCGCTACTCACCTAGTGAATGTTTTCCGACTGGATCCTAAAAATCTATAGAAATAATTCTGATAAACAGCAAGATAGAATGCAAGTCATAACAGTTGTTTTAAATTTTATTTTTAGTACCTTTATACGAACTTCATGTGATTTTGGTGGCGCAACTTCCACCTCCTCAATAGAAAAGGGTTTATTGGCTTCCCACATTACTGCTGCTTTGCATTTAATAACCTGCAAACAGAGCAAAGAAAAAGGGAATGGCATTTGCATTTGCAAGTCACCACACAGACGGATTCTTTCTTGCATTTCTGCATGTGAAACTCATGCTCACATTTGGGGGAGGAGAGGGAAAACTACAGGAACAAAAACCCCAAACCCAAAATGCAACAAAAAAGCCAACACCAAAGCACAGTGTAAGCCCACTTTTTTCCCCCACCAAGATCACGTCTGACTTTGTTCATATTTCTGTCATATGAAGTTTTCAGCAACATGTCTAATAGTCTCCTAGGATAACTGGATACCTTATCCATCCTCATTGCTCCTTCTGTTTCTAACTTCCTTGAAGGATTATTTTTGCCATGTTGGATTACTGGTGTATATTTGTGTCTTCTTGGAGATGGCACAGTAAATGATGCCATATATCAGGTTGTGATAAAGTCTGTATTGCCTAGAACTGCCTGTGTCAGGAACTGACAAAATTGCTAAAAAATGGAATTCAGAGCCTAATACAGATTTATAAATATATTATTACAGCCCAGGTTCAGCCATGAGGTGATGGCTGAGAGGACACCTATGTAAAATGACGTAGCACTATGCAGAGGTAATCTTGAAGAAGCAACAGTCCCTTTAGTGCAAGATTATCCATGCTAAGGTACCTTGCTTCTCAAAAGGGATATTTAACTCAGGTGGGGTTACTCCCAATACCCAAGACAGCTTTTTTTTTTTTTGTCTTTTAGGCTAAAGTTTGTCCATTAGCTCCACAGGCTTTGTCCAGGTGCTAATGGGCCTCTGGGCTCCTCTGATCATCTGCCACTGAGCGAAAAACGCACTCAGAAGAGAGCAGCGTTGTCCACTCCTCATCCCAGGCTCTCAGACAGAGGGAAGGCTCAGTTTCCACTCTGCAAACTCACTTCTAGTGTACTCAAAGGTAGTGGGGCCCCTCTGTCCCCGTATTCATTCCTGTTCTTCCTTGGTGGTCTCTGCCCATCCCAGAGCTTTAAATGACTCCAGGCCCTGGGATATGATTTTCCATGTCACTCTTACGGGTGACACTCTGTTAAGTCCTCAGTCACTCTATTAAGTCCTACTGACCGCAAGCGTTCGGGTGGCATTAGCTTGAGAGGGAAATGGAGGCGAAACGAGTCCATGATGCAAGGAGTTTAGCACACGCATAAGTATCCTGCGTGACTGGGAGCCTGGGACTGGGACAACTTAACACCAGTGTGCTGCAAAGTTCTCAGGGGGGAAAAAAATAAAGCAACTTTTTAGTATCAAAGCTTTTGAAGTAGAAGTAGAAATAATGTCTAATTATCAACAAATTGTCAACTGGTAACAAAGAAAATAATTACCAGGAAATACTAAACATATGAAGTAAAATAGCACACTTTCAGCAGCCAGACCCAAAGTGGCAATGAGCACAATGCTTTGAAAAAGACAGACTTAAGAGAGGTTTGCACTAGTTTAACGTTTCATGTGTCAAATGCAAGCACGATTAGTAAAGAATTCACAAGTGAGGCCAAAGATCACATTCTAAAGGGCCACATTTTCAAGGAAACTTACTTAAAAAAACCCCCACAACTGGCACATGCAAACCACATGTAGTGTTTATAAGAACAGAGGTAGCCAAGAACTGTGGGTTGCTGAGAACAAACAAATCTCTCCTACAATTAGACATTGGTTAACTATGTACTGTTCTGATGGCTGAGTCCCTGTGAACTTTTACTGACTATAACAGGATCCCACAGATGCACCAACAGCACACGAGCACCCGTTTCATCTACTAAGGCAAGCACTAGCTGGAGTCACAGGTTTTTTTTCTGCTCGTGTGTTCTACCAGCCTTACAAGTTACTGCAGCACGGGGAGGGTAGGTGTATAAACACACCCCTGTTACAGAGCATAAGGTTATGCTGCTTGGTCATGTAAACTGCACAGTAACTCACATATTACTCCAAGATAAATACAGTGAAAACAAGGCAGTTTAGTCACATCACACTTAATTTACCATGCTCAGTCCAAGGCTTGGTGGAGGACTGAGCTTGTGAATTTACCTACAAGTGAACTACAATTAATTTTGCACTTGCGGTATCTCGGAGTTGAAGAGAGCATTTTTTTTTTTCCTCTTGTTTTGTTTGGTTTTAGAATAGTGAAGACAGCTGGCAGTAACAGCAAACGATCCTGGCACTTTTTTAAGGCACATTCCAGCAAGGTACATGCCTTCAGGCATTTTCCATCTCTGGGTTCCTGTCCATCAACCTCTCTTGCATGTCTCTGGGTGTATGTTAGCATCTCTCAGGTAGTGCAAGAAGCAACATACACTGTCTTCAGCAGTGGCATTAACCTACATCTCTCCTGTCACTTACTTTCTAGCAAAGATGTAAATACTCATTTCAGTCCCAGCTCAGTACTGCATTGCATGTGATACTTACTTTTGGTCTCCATTAACTTAAGCTCCAGACTTGTTATACGCATATTCAAATTTAATGACTGTCCTAACGTCAGCACAATTACACCCTGAAATTTAACACAATATTAACTATGTCTTTTTTTTAGAAAACAAACTGATATGAATTATAAAGAAGCTAAAAATAGTTTAAACCAACCATGGGATCTCAGAATGGAAACTGATGGAGCTGGTAAATACATTGATCTGAACACTTACTACATTGTATCATATTTTAAACTGTCCAATCAGAGATTAAAAATAGTTTGCTAACCCTCTGGGGAGGTTATTCTCATTCTGGTGCTGTTACCTTATGTTGCCTCAGTGATTAAAAAAATAAATAAATTATTGCCTTGAAGAGTGTAACAACCATTTCCTGGGAGAGTACAGTGGCTTGCAAGTAAAGGCAGCTCTCCTGTACCAGCTTCCTCCTAAACTCTTATCTGTGCTATACCACCAGGACTTACGGCATCCTTGCAAAGAAACTGCATTTAAAAATGCATTACTCAGCTGCAGCAAAGAAACTTTTCTAATATAAACTTTTGCTTACTTTGCCTGCCGTGCTCATGTTGACCGGTGTGTCTGTTTCGAATCTTGCCACCGCTGATTTCTTGCACCAAGAATTCAGTCAGCTGCAAAGCAGTCAGGTTGCTGATACCACAAGTCCAGTCCAATACACTGGAAGCCGGCCTTGTGAAGTGCCCCTGCAAGTGCACTGCTGTGCCCTTTTAGCCAAGCTCAGAGTCCCACCCCTTAGTAAGCCAAAGCGCTAGAAAGAAAATAAACCACCCACCTGCTGAAACCTCTCTTTACAGTGCTTCTGTCTTCCCCAGTGC